TAATCAAACATTCATTGTTTATAGTTCAATAGGATCTACAGAGGAAAAATAGAAACCAACAATAGAATTTCATGTTTCTGTCCCTCATATTAACATCATTTAAACCTGTGAAGCTAAATTTTACTTAAAGACACATGATTGAAATTTTCTCCTTCAGTGTTTATTTTGTAACTTCCTATAAACCAGCCTTTCACTCTATGAAGATGTTTCTTTTCTCTGAATAAATAAATTCTTTCAGAAAACAAGCGTCTTTCGACATATCACAACCATCACACCCCCTTTTGACTCCAAATCTTCCTCCAATTCTCATCTCTTGAAGAAGACGATTAATTTTGTGTCCCTGAACACTCTGGATGTCCAAACAATAAGACTATTTTCAAGCCTCTTGTCTGTTTTAAGTTAATCCCTTTTACTTTAGTTTTCCCCCCCCAAGGTTGCATTACAAAATCATTGCTTTTCTTTGGCCAATAACTTGGACTTTTCTTTGTTCTGTTCATCCTCACTTGACTCTCATCATTTACAAATTATTAACAAATACTACCTAAGACTTACACAGATCGTATCAAATTCAAAAAGGATTTCCACATGCATTGCATTTTTGAAATATGTAGCTGTGTATGAAAATGTCTATAGTCCATATCTAAAACATACGGCAGCCAACGTAAATGTGTTATTATGGCATTAAAATATTACTGGATTCTAGGATGATCGGGTGTATAAAATAGCTTCTCATAGATTCTAAGAACATGTATACAAAATGTGTTATGACTTAAAAACCAAGTTTCTTATTCTGTGTTTTGGTGTTTGTGCCAAAGATATACTGAAACATTCACAGTCTACACCCTACACCTTAGATCAACTTTTCTTGTTAGTTCAGATTAAAGTTATTTTAAAATACATAATTAAATTAGGAAATTAATATATTCTATTTCCACAGATAATTGTTATCGTTTACCATTTGAAGACTATAGACTGAAAATAATGTAAAGATATGTGGCACCAAGAAAAATGGATGTGAAAATTGATTTCAAATGAGACCATATTTAGTCATGTATGATTCTTTCCTATGTATATCAGATAAAATGTGAACCCCTAGGTCCTTGCAATCCCCAAAGGGCAACCTGGCTTTAGAATGGTTACTCTCTCTGAAATTTCAGTACTGGACATAGGACTATGTGTTCAAACACTTAGCCCACCTCATGCAACATGATCAGGAAGAACTTTGTTGGTGGGATTTATGGACCTAAACTCCTATTCCATTAGATTCTGGAATCCATAGTTGTTGTGTTGGTTGTTTTTTTTTTATTAGTTGCCTGGATTTTCATAATTGATGTCTTCAATGGAATATTTTCATTTTACAGCCACAGTTGAACTAAAGACGTGTAAATTATCAATGGCAAGTGCCCCTGAGGCAAACTTACCAGAAAGGAATGACTATGAGCATAATAAGAAAATCAGGTTCACTTGTGGGAGGAAGTCAGAGCAGAAACACTCAGTCTGCGTGAACGGAAAGTGGGAGCCCGAGGTGACCTGCACAGGTGAGCTCTTGTTTAGAACATTTCCAAACGGTGGTTTTCCTTCCTGCCTTGTACAAGGTGTCTCTTTGTGTCCTAACATTTTATTTCTAAGTCTGTATTATGACAATAATGTTGTAGCTGGAAAGTAATTTAGAAAATAACCAAAACGCTGTTTCTGAATAGTAATTGCACCATGTGCATTGGTCAGCTATCAACAAACCACCCGGC